TATAATTACGTGAACCACATGAATTTCGAAATCGTCATTTTTGGACGCTGACGTGACACCCGCGATTGTGCAGCCACCCTGAAAAAGCTGCGCAGTTGCCAATTTACTTTGCACGTTACAGACCGAGGGCTAATTACTAAATTTTTAGTTCGATTATATTTATACCTTAGAAATCCCATTTAACCGATTGATATTTATTTAAGATAAATTCGTCCATATTATAACTGAAACTAAGTGTCGTTTATAAGATATTGCAATCCTTCTGCTCTTAAACGAATAAATAAAAACACCCTCTGTCTGTAGCCTGCAGCCGAAACGTTGCTTTGCGCAACTTTTTCAGTGGATGCGCTTCCAGTGGCGCCACCGCCGTTGTAAGCAACGATAGCCGTCAGTTTTGAAACATTTAAAAAATATAGTTCTATTGAATATTAAACCATAAAACTTTTTATATAGCGTAATTTTAATCTATTTTAACTGAAAATATCCAAATAACCTAGCGTAATTTATCCCTTTAACACGTCGTAAAATACCGAACATGTGTAAAAAGGCTCCACCTCAGTTACGCGTGGGTTGATAACTACAGCAAGTCACTGCCTCTTGCCACCACACCTACTGCTATGGTGGTGGAAATAGCAGTCCTGTCCTGCCCCCTCCCCCCAGTCCAGGACTCATAACTGCGCACTTTCTCTGCTGCGGTGGCGCTACCTGCGCACTCTCTCTGCCGCGGTGGTGCTACCTGCGCACTCTCTCTGCCGCGGTGGTGCTACCTGCGCACTCTCTCTGCCGCGGTGGCGCTAGCGTGGCAGGTGATCGCGATTAATCTAAGCCAAACGGAAGTCGAGGGGGAGCCGCCGCGGCGCGAAATTCTCGCTGATCAATCGCGGAACGTCGCACGAACCAATCGCCGGTGATTCCATTCCTGCAGCATCCTCCGCACGCCGCCGTCCAGTTGCCTGGGCCGCAGGGCGACGTCGCCTACTGCATCCCTCCCGCATCTCTTCGTTAGGCGCGCTTGCAGACGCCAACTTTTGACGAGGTTTCTCGCGGTCGTCGTCATACGTCGTTACGTGTCTCCGGCCGGAAAAATTCTCCGCGGAAGGGGGAGATGAGGAGGTACTCGAACCGAAGCTTCCCTCGTCGGGGAATCCAGTTGGGGAAAAGTCGACCCAGTTTTTTTCCGCCGCAGATGCGGCGTACATTGTTATTGATTTATCTGCCTCGCAGCTTTCACTGCTGTTAGTGCTGGTGCTAGCTAGGCATTGATGTCACCATGCTGTGTCACCAGCCGTTTGTGACACAGTAGGACGGTGCCTAAATGCTCTACAGTGTGAGCTCATCTTTCTTTTGTGAGGTTCTTTATGGTTTATATTAGTTGTCGACGGCTCATCTATGTGTACGTTGGGGTTTATCATTCCAGCCGTGTTTATATTGGGGTGTTTTAAATCATCTTTTGTGCATACTGTGGTTAATTAAACCATCTATAATGTATATATTGGGGTTTATTTAACCATCTATAATGTGTAGTAGTGTTTATTTTAAAACCATTTATCATGTGTATTTTGGGGTAATTAAAGCATTAATAATTATAATCAGTGTTAGGGTGTATTAAACCATGGTTTCCCCTGGCCAAAAAGTTCTGTGATCAGATGGTAAATTTTTTTGGGGTGTGTTTGCGAGTTTCGAGGTCCTAGCAAAGCGAGGAATTTTTCCCCCAGAAATTTTTAAAAAAAATGGTCCAATTTGGTGCATTCTAAGCTATAATTCGATTTTAGATTAGCTTTAATTCGATAAAGTGTAGTTTATTGATGGAAGAACATTGATTTTCGTCAGCGAGGTGGTGTTTTGGACAAATTTCTGTGTGGCGGCTGAGAATTTGAGCGAGGCGGCCCGCCTCGATCGTGTCAATGCAGGAGAAACGCTGCATATATATGTCTATATTATGGTTTATTTAACCATATTTAATGTGTATATTGGGGTTTATCGAAGCATTAATGATGTGCATGTTGGGGGTTATTAAAATTTTAGTATGAGTAAATATTTAAATTATGAGTATTAGGCTCATGCTTGCTTGCTTGCTACTTATCATATGATCACGAGCACATCTGCAATGTTACATATATATCAGAAGTAGATAATATAAATAGGGAATTCCTATTATCTACTTCTGATATATATATAGTAACATGTTATAATAGTTGACTATGCGTGTGTAAACCGTGAGTTATAATGGTTAAATGCTTACTGTGTAACCATGACATAACTTATACCGTAACTGTATGACCATAGGAAACATGGTTTATGTGCTGTCGATGTAAGATGTTGTTGTGTTGTTATGCGTGTGTGTGTGTGGGGGGAGGGGGGGGAGGGGGGGTCAGTGTGTATTTCCGTGCACGCGACAACCCTAGGAGACCGGTTTATGCTTGCAGTCGCCCGTCGGCTCACTCGACTCGTGGCTTTACTCGTCACGACCGTACGCGACCAGATTGTTAATGTGACGGGGGAGGGGAGGGGGGCAGATCACGCGTCAACCCCGGCGTGATGGATGGATTGGCTTAACTCGCAATTCTCGCGTAATTCTCCAATTGTTGTGCAGCACGAAGATGCGACGGGTTTTTCTCGGGTGTCTTTTTTTCATCGCTTTCGTCTTCCGCGACATTTTCGTCGTCGCTCGCGTCGTCGTGTGCCGGGGCTCCGGGCTGAAAGCCGCCAGCTGTTAAAGAAAGACTATTCGACGTTCAGTGGTCCTGACCAGTGATGAATTCGCCTCAGCCACGAGCGACGTTTTCCGACGAATTAGGAGGTGGTCGCGGCGTATGTCGGCTCCTGTATGCGGCGGCCTGTCGTCCGTATGCTTCTGTCTGGAGTTAAAACAATGAAAATTGAAATTATATGTATCATGTCGATTAAAACATAATGATATAATTAAATAATTGAAATAACATTGAATAAATAATTACGAAGCGAGATGACAAAATTGGATGTTAAATAAATGAGTAATTAAAATTAAAAAGAGACAAAAGATAATAAGACGACAGATGACAGTATAATTAAGACGTATGAACGGGGAATACTTGCTGTGGTGATGAGTGGTCGTTTCCGTCATGCGCTTTATGCGATTACTTGATGCGCGCGTTCGAAACCTGTGGTTTGCTAACGTTCGCGCGCACGGCAAGTTGCTCTGTGAATAATTGAGTGATCGTGATGAGCGTGGCGCGCTCTCAGATGCTTGCTCCTCACACACACACACACGAGAGAGAGAGAGAGAGAGAGAGAGAGAGAGAGAGAGAGAGAGAGAGAGAGAGAGAGAGAGAGAGAGAGAGAGAGAGAGAGAGAGAGAGAGAGAGAGAGAGAGAGAGAGAGAGAGAGAGAGAGAGAGAGAGAGAGAGAGAGAGA